CAAACATATTAAAGCACTTACATTACATATAAAATAAAAGATAAAACAGTACATCATACAACATTATTACACCACTACATAGCTACAATACAAAATGTTTAATACCACCATACAACAATATCACAATGTTTCTGGGTTGCTTGATTGTTTTTAATGCTTTACTGGGAAGCTTATCAGAAGTAGACTTGCTCATATTATTTATATTGGAGCTGATCTTGCTACTAGGGCACACCGCCTCAGTGCTAACAGTGTAACTCTGGTTCATAGGCTCATGATTACTGCATACAATAGCTGTAGGATCAACAGAGGTATACAGGGAAATTAGGGGGACATAAATTAAGTTACTTAATTAAGTTACATTGTGTCTGCCAACGCCCCTAGGATAATGTACATTTGATGCAGCATGATGATGACTCATTGTTGACAACATGTAAGCCATATTTTGTCTCCAATGTTTATTGAACATATAAATATATTCGCACTTATCTCTCAAATACATCATCGCAGTTGTTGGTTAGCTAGCTAGCTAATTTTAGCCACATTAGCATTGACATTAAATCAGTCAAAACACCTCAAAACAAGACATGGTATCAAGAACAAGATGAAACGAGCTAAAACGAGACACAATTCCCTACATGGCAGTTTCCTGTCTTTCTTGCTAGCAATCTGGCCATCCAGAATCACAACAACATGCTGACTTCTGCACCATGGTAGCAAGCACATCATTTTCGTGACGTTGTCAGCTAATCCATCTATTGGTAGATGGGTAAAGATAAGAAAAAGCAGCCATTGAATATACCTTTGAGGATGGTGAAGTTATTAATTACACTTTGGATTGGTTATCAATACACCCAGTCCCTACAAAGATACAGGCGTCCTTCCTAACTCAGTTGCCAGAGAGGAAGGAAACTGCTCAGGGATTTCACCATGAGGCCAATGGTGACTTTAAAGCAGTTACAGAGTTTAATGGCTGTGATAGGAGAAAACTGAGGATCCATCAACAACATTGTAGTTACTCCACAATACTAACCTAAAAGACAGAGTGAAAAGAAGGAAGCCTGTACAGAATACAAATATTCCAAAACATGCATCCTGTTTGCAACAAGACTGCAAAAAATGTGGCAATTTTTTTAACTTTATGTGATAAATACAAAGCGTTATATTTGGGGAAAATCCAACACAGCACATCACTGAGTACCACTCTTCATATTTTCAAGCATGGTGGTGGCTACATCATGTAATGGGTATACTTTTATCAGCAAGGGAGTTTTTTAGGATAAAAAGAAACGGAGTAGAGCTAAGCACAGACAAAATCCTGGAGGAAAACCTGGTTCTGTCTGCTTTCCAACAGACACCGGAAGACAAATCCACCATTCAGCAGGACAATAACCTAAAACACAAGGTCAAATATACACTGGAGTTGCTTACCAAGATAACATTGAATGTTCCTGAGTGGCCTAGTTACAATTATTATAAAATTGTACTTTTACCCCTTTTTTCTCCCCAATTTCATGATATCTAATTGGTAGTTACAGTCTTGTCCCATCGCTGCAACTCCCGTACGGACTCAGGAGAGGTGAAGGTTGTGAGCCATGCATCCCCTGAAACACGACCCTGCCAAGCCGCACTGCTTCTTGACACACTGCTCACTTAACCCGGAAGACAGCCGCACCAATGTGTCAGAGGAAACATCGTACAACTGGCGACCGAAGTCAGCTTGCAGGCGCCCGGCCCGCCACAAGGAGTTACTAGAGCGTGATGGGACAAGGAAATCCCTGCAGGCCAAACCCTCCCCTAACTCGACACTGGGCCAATTGTGCGCCGCCTCATAGGTCTCCCGGTCACGGACTGCTGTGACATTTTAATTTTCCACAAATTAGCAAACATTTCTAAAAACATGTTTACACTTTGCATGTGTTAAAACATATATCATACATTTAATCAATTTTGACCAATGGGCCCTGGTCAAAAGTAGTGCACTAAATAGGGAATAGGGTGCCATTTGGGACGCCAGGTCAAACAGTTTATGTCAGCCCCGGTGAATAGGAAATCCCCAAGCACAACAGTGAAATCAGGCTAAGACAATAAGTCAGACATGGGGCGAGTCTGAAATGAGCTAGCTAGTTGTCATTAAAGAAAGGGAAATACACACCAGGAAAATTAGACACTTTGTTAATCTCCCACTCAAATGTGTGACCAAATCTTTGATTAGAGGTGGGGTAATGTTTGTGTCTTAGTGGTATATTCAAAAAATGTATTTTAAACTTTTGCTCGTGGATGTGGAGAGGTGTGCCATTCTATTTCTGGGAACCCTTTTTTGCCCATAGAATAATATAATTTTCCTAAATCACGTTATTCAATTTAATCTGATGTTGTTTTTTTCTGAACTGAACTGTAAACTAATATTGTTAATGAGATATCACTTGTTGGAGAATGTTACATTTACCTTCTCTATATCTTGTAGAATTGGGGCCACTGTCAGGTCAGACTAGTTGACAGCGCACACAAACTGGAGGAGATCAGGGACAGGCTGAAGCAGCCGCTGCCAGAGAGGCTGGAGGAGCTACAGGGTGAAGAGAAGCTCATAGAGGTGACTACCTTCTCAATCTGGATCTCTGTGTGTGTGTGTGTGTGTGTGTGTGTGTGTGTGTGTGTGAGTGTGTGTGTGTGTGTGGGGGGGGGGGGGGGGGGGGGTTGCATATACTGTACATGCAAGTGTGTGTCTGTGTGTGTTTACATGCAAGTGTGTGTGTGTGCATCCCACTTTGTAATATTGAGCTGTGTATATTAGTATCTCTCTGTGTGGGTGGATTTCAACCTCTCTGTGCTGTTAGAAAGAAGGTAACACTTGAGGTGAGTCAATAGGTGAGTAACACTAACTAGGTTTCCATCCAATTAGCGGCAGATTTTTATGGTAATACTGAAAAATCTGCATAAAGAAAATATGTGCATTTTCCCACCAGTGGTGTGTCTCCACCAAACGGACTTGGTGCAGATATAAATCAGCGCGTGTTGAGGTAGTGCACACAAAAATGTATTTTTCACGTCACTTTTCAAGTAGCGATTGTTTTGTCACAAAAACTGTTGCGTTAAATAGCAAATGTATGTGCCTACTCTGGTCTTGGCACATGCGCTCTAGCCAACAACAGATACAGTGCGGGTAGGTTGTGCGGGTAGGCTATACATGACGAGATTAGCCTATTATGTATAAGAGCGATAATATTTTTATTTGTCAAACAGCAGTCAAGCATCGATCATCATTTCTCCATAATAAGATCCTCAATATTTATTGGAAAGTAGCATCAAGCTCATCACCGTGCACGTTCACCACCCTGTGAAGTTCATCACAAGTTATTTAATCTGTAGCCTAATAAACTGCATGGTTTCTGAGATGTAGTGGGAGGACCACACACCATATTAGCGTGTGACTCATAAAGATCTTTCCGCCGCCATTTCTTACATAATACATTTTACCGATACAAAAAGATCCCACTATGATCGCAAATGATCTGTCGGCATTAATAAAATTGTACCGAAACTTCCTGTTTCCATCATAGCTGTCGTGATTGTTTTTATACGGTATGACTTTACTCGCATAAAAACTGTGTATGGAAATGTACTTACTGACATTAAAATTGCCATGGCATTGATAATTATAGAATCACACATCTAGATACAATATAATACTGTTTTATTTCAATTCTGCGGAATAGCAGCACCTCAGACCTGACTTAAAAGCATAGTTCATAAAAAATATATTTAGTATTTTGCTCATTAGTCTGCTGTTAATACAATCTTGATCAACAGCCACCGACACAATGAGATTAAAGGGTTAGTTCACTCAAAAATGATATTTTTGTTCATTAGTCCACTGTTAATGTAATCCCAAAACGTTGTGAATGTCAGCAGTCAAGTTTTCAAGATAGAGCACTTTCAGAACAGAGCAAAAAGGTTCATGCTGATGTGTTTCGCATCATATGAAACCTGACTGCTGACATTCACAACGTTTTGGGATTACATTAACAGTGGACTAATGAACAAAATACTAAAATATCGTTTTTGAGTGAACTAACCCTTTAATCTCATTGTGTGGGCGGCTGTTGATCAAGGTCTCATTGGAGAGGTACTTCTATTGTGAAGAATGAGGATAACAGTGGCAAAGATAGTTAAGTCAGGTGCAGTCAGGTTTATTTAAAGTGCATTGTCCATGGGTCTCAACATACTTTACATAATGAGGCAAGGAAACAAACAAACAAAAAATGATAAAGGAAAAGAAAAGGAATACAGGAAAGAAATGCCTAGTTAGGTCCCAAATTGCACACTATACCCTATAATGTACTACTTTTGACCAGGGTCCATAAGGCTCTGGTCAAAAGTACTGCATAATATAGGGAATAGGGCGCCATTTGGGACGCAGGGCGCCATTTGGGACGCACACTAAGATAAGAGGAGAGATATCATGTTATTTTTTTATTGTTTCTAATACACCTTCTTCGGCTTTCTTAGCACACACATTTGCTTATTTGGGTTTGTAATTTCATCACTGCAGCTATTGAAAATCATTGCTGTACTGTGTATCACTCCTGTCATGCCAGTAAAAGTTGTTTGAGTTTGAATTTGACTGGGGGGAAAGTGAATTGATTGAGGGGGTTTTCAGGCACTCACAGAGGGGCCAGAGTTACCAACAGGTTTTGGGGGCTCCCACTATCCCCCACCCACTGAGTCCCACTATTATGAGTTTTCTACACTCCTCCCTCTTTCCCCCTTTCCCCTCCTCTCCCTTACCCTTTCACTTCACTTCCCTCCTCTCCTTTCCCCTCCCAGTTTACCCTCTGCTCCCCTCCCCCTTCCCTTAATCCTGCGGGTTTGAGAGAAAGAGAGAGAGTCACACATACAGAGACAGAGAGAGAGAAACACACACGTACTGGACTAGTATGCACTTACTACAGCGCCGGGGTGCCTGACCGGTCAGTTGTGTGTGTTGTGTGTGTGTTATGCAGGAGAACGAGGCCTCTCTGGAGTTGTGGGCCGGTGGAGTGAAGGAGTTGTCCACCATGAAGACGGACCTGTCCCAGTACATCTTGGCCGGGGACGCTACCCTACTACAAGGACAGGTGGAGCAGCTGCACTGCCAGTGGGAGGAACTCTGTCTGAAGGTGAGAGGGGCATGGATGGAGAGAGAGAGAGAGAGAGAGAGATGTAGGGAAAGAGATAGAAAGAGAGAATTGTGTGTTAGAGAGAGAGAGGAAGACTGATTTTATTTAAGAGAGAGTGAAAGTGAGTGAGCGGGAGGGAGGGAAGGGAGAGATATAAAAATATAGTAGCCACTAGCTATGTTCTGGCCACACAAAAGGCTCCTCCGCTACTGGGGCTGATGACCAGCGAGTGGAGACACAAAACACACACACATTCACTCATTCATGGCAGCGCAACATGAGAATAGAAGCAGCATGGAATGGAGGGGAAAACGGACATGTGGGTGAATGGAATGCCACTACTGACCAGCAAAAATGCATTAGATACTTGCATTTCCCCAAAAGATTATAATTTTTTTTTATTTAATGTGTTTCTATTTCTGCTTAAGATTTAACAGTTTGACATTTCCAGTGCCCCCATTTAATATCTTCTCAATAGAAACTGTTGGGGTTATTATGCATGTACTGTGTTTCAGAGTTTGAGGCTCTGAATGCCTCTGTAAGAGACAGTAGTATTTGTGCTCTCAAGTGGTATAATATTTTACTAATGATGTACATCTTTGTCAGTGAGAGAAAGAGAGAGAAAGATTGACTGTTTTTGGGGGGGGGGATTTAGCTTGATTGTTTTGAGACCTAATTGGGTCCTGATAAAAGCGCATGGGCAGTTCGAACGCTGTTCTGTTGGGTTTTGTAACTGAATTTGTCTATTACTGATTGTAAGTCTAAGTGACCGCAGCACGTGGGAGATTTGAATGCTTCTGTTGGAGTTTGTAACTGAATTTGTCCATTACTAACTGTAAGTTAAATTAACAATGGTGAATGGAGGTGTTTAGCTCTTTAGCTGAGCAGAGGTCAGAATTCCAAGCTACAGTTAAATCTCCCTTTAAATCAAAAACAAACACAGCGTTTTTGTATAAATGCCTGTTAACGGTTTTTCTTTCTGATTACTAACTTGTTGTTGTGCATCGGGCCTTGTTGTTGGAGAAACAATGGGGCCCTCATGGTTCCACTGACTGCCCCAACTTGCAACCTGTTAGGGAAACTGTTAAAAATTGTGCACTTGTGGGGACACAGAGCTGGCGGCAGCGATGAGTTCTCCTTAAAAGAAAGTGTTGCATTGCTATTATGAATAATGTAGGCTCAATTGATAGTTCATTAATTTAACATATTTAGACATTTGTTTCCTTACCTTGAAAGCAGTCTATGGGCACTTTGGTTTTGTTTTACAAGCCACTAGAATAAGCAACATTAGCATTTTGAGATCAATTTCCGTATCTCCCCGTATAGCATGTATTACATTTCATGCCCAAATCATAAAAAAATTAATTCAACCAATTAATTGAGTAATGTAAAACATTTAAGATGATAAGATGAGAGATGATGTGGGTTTGAAATGTAATACATCCTACACGGGGGAGATTGAATTACACTAATAATAAAAAACGTGTTTTCGGAGTGAATATTTAGCTGATATGTACACTACCAGTCAATAGTTTGGACACACCTACTCATTCAAGGGTTTTTCTTTATTTTTACATTTTTTTACATTGTAGAATAATAGTGAATACATCAAAACTAGGAAATAACACATGGAATCATGTAGTAACCAAAAAAGTGTTAAACAAATAAAAATATATTTTATATTTGAGATTCTTCAAAGTAGCCACCCTTTGCCTTAATGACAGCTTTGCACACTCTTGGCATTCTCTCAACCAGCTTCATGAGGTAGTCACCTGGAATGCATTTCAATTAACAGGTGTGCCTTGTTAAAAGTTAATTTGTGGAATTTCTTTCTTTCTTAATGCGTTTGAGCCAATCAGTTGTGTTGTGACAAGGTAGGGGGGGTATACAGAAGATAGCCCTATTTGGTAAAAGACCAAGTCCATATTATGGCAAGAACAGCTCAAATCAGCAAAGAGAAACGACAGTCCATCATTACTTTAAGACATGAAGGTCAGTCAATAAGGAAAATGTCAAGAACTTTGAAAGTTTCTTCAAGTGCAGTTGCAAAAACCATCAAGCACTATGATGAAACTGGCTCTCATGAGGACCACCACAGGAATGGAAGACCCAGAGTTACCTCTGCTGCAGAGGATAAGTTCATTAGAGTTACCAGCCTCAGCTCAAATAAATGCTTCACAGAGTTCAAGTAACAGACACATCTCAACGTCTATAATGTAAAAATAAAGAAAAACCCTTGAATGAGTAGGTGTGTCCAAACTGTTGACTGGTACTGAAGTTTTGGTACTGTATATCTACAGTATATTTTTGCCCATTACAGGTTTTCTGAAGTTGGGGATGTGCATATCATGCTTCTATGCTTCATAGAACAACAATGGAGCCCTTATTATGACAGTGTGTCCCACATGACAGTGTCCCCAAAACACATGGCGCTGTCCCCACAAGGCTAACAGGTTGCAGGTGGAGCCAGTCAATGGAATGGCTGAGGGACAGATGGCCAGCCAGGGCTGTGTCCTGCCTGTGCTTCAGGGGACAGCCCCTGTCCCCTATTGTTGGGGTGGCAACACAAGTCCTCACATGGCAACGACGGGTCACAATCGAAACCGCTCCTGAGGGAATATTAAGAATATTAAGCCTCAATGATAAGTTAAGTGAGAGAAAGAGCCACGCTCGTGAAAAAAAACTGTAACTGTCAACAGACAGTGAAATATTGCCGTCAAAATGAACTCATGTCTGCCAGTTAAGCTCTTTGACCTCAAAATAATCAACATCCCCTCCTTTGTGGAGCAATGGGAGTATAATCTACACATTAAGCTATCATTAGGAAAATGGACCCTATTCATTTCATGTAAAAAGCTTGACTCTCTAGGGGCCTCGCTCATTTTACTTGATTATGGAGAGTCCCCCAGGGTTCTAGCATTTGAATTGACTTGTAGTGAACTGGTAAACACAAGGGTTGGGCTCAATTCCATTTCAACTCAGTCAATTCACAAAGTACACTGAAATTCATGTTTTCCTTGTTGCTTTTCAATGCACAATGAAATGTGTCAGTGGTCCACTTTGGTGGAACAAACTTGCATTACAGTCTTATTCCAGTTAAAGCAGCCTATGTAAGAGGCTATAACCTGTACATACTGTAGGAGATTTGTACCGTGCCGTTCCACCTATGATAATAATAATAATAATAATAATAAGCCATTTAGCAGACGCTTTTATCCAAAGCGACTTATAGTCATGTGTGCATAAAATTTTACGTATGGGTGGTCCCGGGGATCGAACCCACTACCCTGGCGTTACAAGCGACATGCTCTACCAATTGAGCTACAGAGGACCTTCCAGTAGAACTAGATTGTTCACAGAATCGAATTGACAGCAGGGAGGTCTTATCGCCTGTCCAATTTTGCATTAGTAGGGATGGATCAAACTTTTAAGTGAAATTTAGGGACTACACAAGCCAGGTGTCATAGTGTCAAAGCACTCTTAAAGTAGCCCCCTTACTGAAAGCGGGCATCTAGCATGGGAGCTGTAGTTTTTCTGCCCATTACTATTCACTAATAGAGTACAGCTGAAAACCTTGCTCGCCCAGTGATACAAAACCAATCCACTTTGTTAAAAAAAAGCATTTTCAAAGTCCACTGGCACTTCAGGGTATTATTTTTGGGCTACATTCAATGGACCTGCATTGTATGGTGTTATCTTTTCAATTTAGACTCCACCTGACTCTCAGTTACTTGACAGTGCCTGTTTTTGTGTTAAATGTGGCCAATTTCTCAGGATTTTCTGTAACGGTCTGGGTTTAACTTGACAAAATATAGCATTTTAGACCCTAGGTCTGTTTTTTGTCAATGGGAATAACATTACTGAAGGTATAATTTAACTTAACATTCAGTTAAGTTATTAAAGTGGCTAAAAGGATTCATTCAAATTGAGGCGGTCCTATAGTTCCAGACTAGAGTGGCAAGACCTAGCTTGAGTGCCAGTCTGTTTGTGCTATCATGTCAACTCCGTGTCACTCATTGTCATGCTATTTTTGCAAATGATTAGGCAAAAGCACAAACAGATCTGGGACCAGGTGAGGCAAGACCCCCATCACAATATTTTTTTCTGCATCTGATTGTCAATCCCTTCCCCTGGTAGTCTATCAAGCAAAATCCAGTCCTTGAGGATCGCACTGTATGAAGGTTTCCGTTCCTCCCTTGTCCAGCAGAAACTGGGGGCCTCCAGGAATTAGGTTTGACATCCTGTCAAGAAACCTACTACAATAACCCCCCCCCCCCCCCCCCCCCCCCCGAACCCCCTCTTCTCTTCTCAGGTATCCCTGCGCAGGCAGGAGATCGCCGACCGACTCAGCGCCTGGACCATCTTCAACGACAAGAACAAGGAGCTTTGCGACTGGCTGACCCAGATGGAGAACAAGGTGTCGGACAGCGGAGACCTCAGCCTCGAGGAGATGGTGGAGAAACTGAAGAAGGTAAGAGAAAACTGGGGTACTGTGCACATTAATTTGAGGAAACAACCTCAAGTGTGGTGAAACTGAAGGAGGTAACAGGAAACTTTGGTATGGTGCACATTTTAGGACATACAGTGGGGGAAAGAAGTATTTAGTCAGCCACCAATTGTGCAAGTTCTCCCTGTTGCAGGAGAACTTCCCTGCAATGCAGGAATGTAAAATGTATAGTGTATTTGAGGCTTAAAAAGGCTTCTGAAGTTTGTAATTTCCACTTTCAGACTTGATTTTCCCTTATGAAAAATGTATCAACCCCTACAAAAATTTCAATTAAAGGACAATTCCTTCATTTTATAAACAGTTATTATGCTGTTAGTATATATGTACTACTATAACATTTGATTAATTTGTTGACGTTTATTGTTTTTGTTAGTCATACTGCACATTTCCTTGATTTTGTAATTTTGAAACTTCTGTATTGCCTTCATCTAAAGCATACTATGATTCCCAGGGTGCATTTAATCTCTCATGATGCAATTCTCCACCTAGTTAGTCTGCAGTTAGCTTAGCTAGCTAGCTATATCAAGCCCAGGCGAAGCTTAGTCTAAATATATAGACGTGTTGTTTGTTTAGCAACAAAACCGACGCGTGCTCAACTATGGGGCAAAACAAACGGGGTTGGCTTAAATTGTTGATAACATGTTAACTATATTTAATTCCCAATGTATATTGAAAACATAAATGAAGTTGCACAATGAGCACTTGTCTCTCAAATACATCGTTACAGTTGTTGGTTAGCTAGCAAATTTTAGACATATTATAATATTATCAGTAAAAACACCTCAAAACAAGACATGGTATCAAGAACAAGATCAAACAAGCTGAAACGAGCCACTTACGATTCACCACATGGCAGTTTCTTGTCATTGTTGCTAGCTATCTGGCCATTCAGAACAACAACAACACACAGCCTTCTGCCCCTTTGGAGCACGCGCATCGTTTTCGTGACGTTGTCAGCTAAACTGTCTATTGCTTATGTCAAAGGTTATGAGTGCATTTCACATTACTTTTGGCCTGTAAATATATTATAATGGTTGTATGAATGTCATGCTGAATATATGTTCATGTCAATAACCAGGTTTCCATCCAACCTTTTTAAACATTTTTAATGACGGGCCTGATGGAAACAGAACATTTTTCGGTTAACTTTCCAAATGACGACTAAACAAAATACACTAGACAAGATGAGATTGTTTTGTGTCTGTAAAATTAATTATGCGATATATGTCGGTGGAAACGCTTTTATGCGCAAATATTGATATAATAACCATCATATCGAAGTAAACTTGGAGACACGCGATGAAATGTTGTGTGGTCCTCCCACTTTGACTCGTCAGGAAAGCATGCAGTTTATTAAGCTGCAGATGAAATAAATTATGATGAATTTCACAGGGTGGTGGAAGTGCAAGGGGATGAGCATGATGCTCCTTTCCAATAAATATCTAGTGTCTTATTCTGGTGACATGATAATCGATGCTTGGCTGCCGTTTGAAAAATGTAAATAATATTTTGTCCATATAATCTCATCATGTCGACTATACGAGCGCTCTAGCCAACAGCACCCTGTTACAGGAGGGGGTCCCAGTTCCGGAGCGACCCACTAGGTGTCATCCTCCGACAACCTTAGGCACCTCCTCACTCACAGTCTGGACTAATCAGTATCCTATTGGTGTCACCTGTGTCTACCTGTTCACCTGTGTATTTATGCCCTCACTTCCCTGTGTTCCCTTGCTCAGTTTTCTCTGTTAGTTTCTCTATGTCCATCAGTACTACTCAGTGTCTGATCGGAGACCTATGTACAGGTACTTGAGAAGTATTCTCCCTGTTTCATTATTTGTTTCAGTCGTAGGTAGTATTTCGTATTTTGGCTGTCAGCCGGTTTTTGGAGACTTATTTGCGCCGCCTTTCTTTTATCGTGATAAGTCCGTTATTTTGTATTCTGGCTTCGGGACCACCAGTAAAGATCCTTGTTTCACCATCTCTGCCTACTGCCTACTGTATATCCTGCACCGCACCTGGGTCACACCTCACACCAACCCTTACAGCGCGCAGATAGCGCTGTTGGCTAGAGCGCACTTGCCATTACCAGAGTGGGCACACACGCCATATAATGCTAAACATTTTATGAGAAAACCATCAGTAGAGTTGAAAATGCGATGGACACCCATTTAACTTGTATTTTTTATTCAGTACATGGGAATTTAACTGCAAAATGTATTTTAATGTGAACTATGTCATCACGCACAGCCTTTTATCTGCAACAAATCAATTTGATGGAAACATCTCTGGTGGGAAAAATATTTAATGCAGGTTTTTGAATATTCACATGAAAATCTGTCACTAATTGGATGGAAACCTAGCTATTACATTTACATTTTAGTCATTTAGCAGACGCTCTTATCCATAGCGACTTACAGGAGAAATTACGGTTACGTGCCTTGCTCAAGGGCACATCGACAGATTTTTTACCTAGTCGGCTCGGGGATTAGAACCAGCGACCTTTCGGTTACTGGCACAACGCTCTTAACCACTAAGCTACCTGCTGCCCACTATTGTAACCAATCAAGTGCAATACACTAAAAATGTATTTGAATGTGGATGCTAACTAGGAGTGGTTTTGCCTAATGGAATCATGGAAGTTTGAGCCTAATATTGGAGTAAGCTGACTATAAATATCATTCTATAGGTTTTTGAGCGTCTATTTAAAATATGTACATGTTATTAGACAAAGACAACCAGAGCAACACATAGCAGGGAGTTCCAATATGAAAAGAAAACTACAGACGGGTTATATAGATTGCTGAAGATGACTGTCCATAATTTATTGTATTAATCATCTCAGTGAACCTACTTGAAAACTTAACAGATGCAATTTCCGGTTTTGCTCATCAATAAACAGTCAACATGAAATCATAAAATTACACTAACACTGTGTAGGACATCACTAAATACTTCATAATAACACCTCAAATGTTAAAAGTGGCAGAGTTTTCCTTTTATTATAAACCACATAATAATTCACATATCCTATTGCTGCAGGATTATTTTCCCACTGTAGCAAACTGGCTCAAATTAAGATCCTACATCTGTCTGGCTGGGTCTTTGGTGGCTATTGATCTGAATGAACTTGATTGGTATGGTAAACAGTGCAGTGAAAACCTCTGTAGATTCAGACCCATGTCTGGTTAGATAGATTAGATAGATTAACCCTTTAACCCTGGTGGTTGCATAACCACTAGAGCCCCAGCTCACACACACAGTGTAGCCCAGACGATAGAGCTAATGTGGGTGTTCATCTGAGGGAGTCTGCCAGGTGTCCTCAGGTCAAGTGACTGGACTGGGGAAAGGGGTCCCCTTGGACCTCCCTCATCTTGGTACAGTCCACTCCTCTCATGAGAATCACACCCAGTCGCAATTGAAAGTTAGTGTGTCACTCTCCCACATTTCTGACCTGTGTTATGCACGTTTGTGATATTGTATATCACGTGCTTGGTTCCAGAATTAGAGCGGTAATCCTACAAAGTGTACAATTGCTGACAGAAACGTGGACAGACAAAGTAAACAACTTTACTGTATGTAGGGCAGAATGGGTACATGAGGATTTGGCCAACCCCTTTGTTCCGGTAAACAATGGTCCTCTCTATTGAATTTAGCCTACATCACGCCTCCTTTTCTTTCTCATCATCGATGTTAGTCATTTAGTACACAAGATAATGATTTGGGACACAGGGTGTGTTCATGTTTTTGATGTAGTGTGAGAAGAAATAAATAAATTAAACGTTGCAAGAGAAAGTGCTCTTTGTTTTGCAGCCCTTTCTCTTGTGGGCACCCCTTGATCAAAGCTTAAAGCAGAAGTTCAGGATTTTAGAACTTGATGTTAGCCACATAGAATTAGAATAATAATAATAATAATTTAATAGGATCTCTATGGTTAGCCACTATAAACTACGGCTCATTTTAGCCACCGCACGCTAACAATCAATGGAAGCGATAGGGGCAGTCTTTTTTTTTATGGTCTAATCACCTTTAAGTCACATCACACATATGGAGTTGATTTCAGTTGATTTCAGTTTGGCCATCACATTTTTTAAATTGTACAATTGCCTGAATTGTTTGAAAGCACAAAAAAACTGATTTGGAGATACCTGAGTGAGTGGGTAGCTGAAAGAGCGGGGGATGGGCTGTGAGAAGAAGTTGTTAGCTAGGTCGTCAACCCCCCTATCTGTTGTAAATACGTATTTGAAATGCACTTGATGTAGCTTGGGAAGTATTTGAAAGTACATTATTTGAAACATGTATTTGACCCAGGTTTGGTAGTCTGCTCCCTCTCCTTGAAAGCAAAAGACAGATTTCTGTGATCTGAAAATAACATTATTCTTCTTCTCTATAGGACTGTATGGAGGAGATCAACCTGTTCAGTGAGAACAAGAGCCACCTGAAGCAGCTGGGGGAGCAGCTGATGCTGGCCAGCGACCAGGCCAAGCAGGCCCAGCTCCACGGCACCCTGAGGGACGCAAGGGACCGCTGGCAGCACCTTTTCCACCACATAGAGGCCAGGTGAGGCTAGCACATTTAAAAACTGGGCACAGGTTGTTTTTCTTTTATTGTTTTCCAATGACAGAGACAGTATGAAATGAAGGGGAGAGAAGAGCCAGGATTCATACCCACACAGGCTACTACTACTAGCGGCAGGTAGTCTAGTGGTTAGAGTGTTGGGTCCGTAACGGAAAGGTCACTAGTTTGAATCTCCTAGCCAACAAGGGGAAAAATCTGTCTATGTGCCCTTGAGAAAGGCACCTAACGCTCCAGGGTTGCCGTTGATAATGACTCACACTGGCTGTGACCCCACTCTCAGGGAGAGTTGGGATATGCAAAAAACACATTTAGGACAAATATAAGCACCCACCAAATTATTACTTATATTACTAGGCCTACTACTACTGCTTCTACTACAATACTACTACCACTACTACTACCACAATCGAACTGGTACAGAAGCTGAAACAAGACAACAGGTGACTTCATATCCTGCCTTGTCTCAACTTGTTTAAAGAGTATGATTCCATATACTGGTGGGATGCCACACGCTGGCATCCAAGGGGGGTGAACCTTTCTTTTATTCAACCTCAACCTCCCGTCTGTCTGCCAGGTCAGGTGCCACCATGGCCGAGTGGTGCCGGTTGCTTTGTGCTCTTCAGGAGGATTTAAAAAATCTAATTAAATGGTGTTTGTCACGTACACAGATTACAGCATTTATAAAAGGTGCAGTGAAATGCTTGCGTGGTAGCTCCCTCAATATTGCAGTACAATAATCAATATCAATAATTAAAGGCCAAATACAAAATAGAAAATATCAAGTAATTAGAAGAAGGTAGTATGTAAAGTAATAACTGATATGTATGATTATGAATGTGCTATGTCAAGTATGACTGTATTTACAAATATAAATTGAATACTGACTAGGTTGCGCAGTTAAATAAATAGTATAAATAGAGCAACAGTGTGTGAGTGTGTGTGTGTGTGTGTGTGTGTGCTTGTGTGTAAGGTTTGGATGTGTGGAGAGTCAGTGTTGCAAATAGTTTCTAGCTGCAGATAGTCTTTAACATGCAAATAGTCTCTAAGCCTGTTGGTCTGAGACCCGATGCTCCGATACCACGGCGCTCAGCTTGTCTGGGTGACAGACACAACGGATGGCACATTATTCATAGGGAGTGCTGTGAGTGTTGTTCACAGTGGCAGCATCGTTTAGCACCACGGCTAGTCAGCTTTTATGCTAACCGGATAACAGATGCTGACGGGGGGTCCAGGCTATCGTTAGCGCCAGCAGGCTATAGTGCTGTTTCCTATTGTTTAGCCCCCACCACGTCACGGCTAATGCGGGGCGACAGAACCCCCATCCCCTCCTCCTCCCTCTCCACCTTGCTTGGGTCCCCTACACTCTGGGGCTGAAAAAGGGGGACTCGGAAGGAAGACGTAAGGCCATATGGTACAGTCCTAGACTTTTGAGGGGGCCATACAATCTAAATCCCCTCTGATTCCAAGTCTGTCCATCTGTCTGTGGCTACGCACGGTGGCTGGCTATGTAGACAGTAGATGATAATGAATATACAGAAGTGATTGTACAGCAGCTGCAAAGCTGAAGGAACATTGGTGAACCACAGGGTACAGTGTGAGTTACTTTAACATTTGTGCCATAGTGGGTCCTTGACTCTTTGGGGGCTGGCCATCACCACACTTGACACCTATATGGGAAACAAAGGCTGAGCGTTGCTAGGTTGAAACAGGTATGAATGAGTTGGAAGGGGCTCTTTGGAGGCGCTTGTGAGTTGATATTAGGGAAGAGTGTTGCCTTGGTATATACAGTACTCTTCTGTATCCTTTAAATAAGAGCATTCAGTGCTGTAGCTACATATGAGGACACCGAGACCTCTGTCAGGGTCTCAACTTACTGATGGAAGTTAGAATAGTAGAATACAAAAGGTACAATTTCGAAACTTGGTTGGGCATATGCAGTTTTCTTCTTGGTATATATCACTCAGTGACATTTTTTTCATTGGTAAATTACTCTAGTTGGTGTAGCCTGCTATCTACAGTAAACCTGTAGTTATTGCCGAATTACCGACTGGGCACGCAGGGGCCCTGACCTCCAGGGGTCCCTCCATTGATTTTGTTAGTCACTCACTCAGATATCATATTAACATGTCATAAGTCATGGCAAAATGAGTAAAATTGCAGGAAATTAGCTATAAAACTACAAAACACAATTGTTCTGTAAAGCAAACTTAATTGTTTACCTTTTGTTAATAAAATAATTTTCTGCTAACAGATCGCTCTGTAAGTGTTAAATTATAGTTTTGTGTAGCGGCTAATTTATTCCTAATAGGCTATGTGTTTGTAGATCAACTGAGGTGAATTAAACTAAAGCATCCAATGTGATATTGGCTGTGGTCATTTTTGCTTGTTTTTGCTGTTCTCCAAACAGCATTTTAGAGTTTTTAAATTGTATAGAAATGCAGTAAATGAGCTTCAACTTTCTTAAAATGTCTTGACCTCCAGACCTCTCTAAAACTCAGACCCTGACTACGGCCCTGGGAGCATTATTTGCTAAGCTAAAGATTAAGCTTGGAGTAAGAGCGTCTGCTAAATGACGTAAATGTAAATGTGAGTAGCATGGCGCTGTTCTTGCTACCGGTCTATGGTCAGGTTTGCGTGTTGTTGTGTTTTTACTTTGATGATTACGGTTAGGGTTTGGGGAGGGTGAGCTGATCCTACATCTGTTCTTAATACATCTTGTACCCGGACCACTATAAGTTCAGGAAGTCACTCCTATCTCTCTAAAGGTGTCAGGCGAGACGTGTGTGGTGACCATTGTTACTATATAACTGTAACCTCTATAGAGCCTTGTCTCCAAGCGACTTGGACACCCCCCCCTGTAGCGACAGTCACTTTGTTCGCATTGCTTTTTTCTCCCTTTCCCTTTCTCTCTCTCTCTCTCCCTCTCCCTTGCTCTCCCTCACTCTCTATATTTTAATCTCTCTCTCCATACCTCTTCACACATTCTTTGTCCCTCTATCCATCCTTCTCTTCCTATACACTGGCTCAGCAGGGAGGCTTGCCCTGGGGCTCAGTGTCTTTTGTGTGGCCCAGTGTCACTGCTCTTTGTTGGGCTGTCAGATGTTACGAGAGGTGCGGGAGGGAATGTGGGTCTCGGTCAGTGCTAGGTCTCATGGTTAGTTTAGTTTGGTTTGGTATAGTTTTGATTAGTTTAGTTTGGTTTAGTTTAGATGGGTTTACTTTAGTTTGGTTAGGTTTAGTTTAATTTGGGCTCAGTTTGGTTTAGTTTAGTGCTTGGTTAAGTTTAGTTTGGTTTAGTTTTGTTACATGTATACTGTATATTGGCAGTTTAAAGCTGAATTGCAATACAATACATACAAGCAATACAATACATATTAGTCGCACTGGTGCGAGCTGCACATTCTTCTGGTCACCGCAATCAAAACCTCCTATTTTTTGGGTGGATAAAACCATGAAGTTGTTAAACAGTATAAAGCATTATCCTCATGATTCCTGTAATTAAAGTGTCTGCCCTGATGCTGTGCCTGCCTGTTTAGCTGAGGCCAGCTGCTGTAATGAGCGAGGCGCTCACGCTCTCTCTCCCCCTCGTGTGCCCCTCGTGATTGTATAACATTTAGAAATGCAACGCAGGACAAAAACTACTTTGGAAGCAACTAGTTGTCCATATTAAAGAGAGGAGGGTCTCAGCTTTCTGTAGGTATACTTTTATTTCTCAACGGTCATTATTGCACTCAAAGCACACTGTTTTACAAACAATATATCTGGTATGTCTTTGAAATACGGAGGGCGCGAAATTGTGCATTGGCCATTGCAAGTGCACTCATAGCAAAGTTTTTTTTAGGACATTACATTTACTATAGATTAAAACATTAGCAGTATTAGCAGTAGATGTTATATTTTGAGTTAGCTATCTAGCTAATGTGTTTTGAGATGGTTACTCAGGTGGTGAATTAGGTCTATATTTAAGCGATAATGCCCGAGAAGCCGGTGTTTGGAGGATATACAGTTTAAGTCGGAAGTTAGGTTGGAGTCATTAAAACTTGTTTTTCAACCACTCCACAAATTTCTTTTTAACAAACTATACTTTTGGCAAGTCGGTTAGGACATCTACTTTGTGCACGACACAAGTAATTTTTCCAACAATTGTTTACAGACAGATGATTTCACTTATAATTCACTGTATCACAATTTCAGTGGGTCAGAAGTTTACATACACTAAGTTGACTGTGCCTTTAAACAGCTTGGAAAATTCCAGAAAATGATGTCATGGCTTTAGAAGCTTCTGATAGGCTAATTGACATAATTTGAGTCAATTGGAGGTGTACCTGTGAATGTATTTCAAGGCCTGCCTTCAAACTCAGTGCCTCTTTGCTTGACATCATGGGAAAATCAAAAGAAATCCGCCAAGACCTCAGAAAATGTTTTGTAGACCTCTACAAGTCTGGTTCATCCTTGGGAGCAATTTCCAAATGCCTGAAGGTACCACGTTCATCTGTACAAACAATAGTACACAAGTATAAACACCATGGGACCACGCAGCCATCATACTGCTCAGGAAGGAGATGCGTTCTGTCTCCTAGAGATGAACGTACTTTGGTGCGAAAAGTGCAAATCAATCCCAGAACAACAGCAAAGGACCTTGTGAAGATGCTGGAGGAAACAGGTACAAAAGTATCTATATCCACAGTAAAACGAGTCCTATATCGACATAACCTGAAAGGGCGCTCAGCAAGGAAGAAGCCACTGCTCCAAAAAAAAAGCCATACTACGGTTTGCAACTGCACATGGGGACAAATATCGTACTTTTTGGAGAAATGTAATCTGGTCTGATGAAACAAAAATAGAACTGTTTGGCCTTCGTTATGTTTGGAGGAAAAAGGGGACGCTTGCAAGCCGAAGAACACAATCCCAACCGTGAAGCAATGGGGTGGCAGCATCATGCTGTGGGTGTGCTTTGCTGCAGGAGGGACTGGTGCACTTCACAAAATAGATGGCATCATGAAGAAGGAAAATTATGTGGATATATTGAAGCAACATCTCAAGACATCAGTCAGGAAGTTAAAGCTTGGTCGCAAATGGGTCTTCCAAATGGACAATGACCCCAAGCATACTTCCAAAGTTGTGGCAAAATGGATTAAGGACAACAAAGTCAAGGTATTGGAGTGGCCATCACAAAGCCCTGACCTCAATCCTATAGAACATTTGTGGGAGGAACTGAAAAAGCGTGTGCGAGCAAGGAGGCCTACAAACCTGACTCAGTTACACCAGCTCTGTCAGGAGGAATGGGCCAAAATTCACCCAACTTATTGTGGGAAGCTTGTGGAAGGCTACCCGAAAAATTTGACCCAAGTTAAACAATTTAAATGCAATGCTACCAAATACTAATTGAGTGTATGTAAACTTCTGACCCACTGGGAATGTGACGAAAGAAATAAAAGCTGAAATAAATAATTCTCTCTACTATTATTCTGACATTTCACATTCTTAAAATAAAGTGGTGATCCTAACTGACCTAAGACAGGGAATTCTTACTAGGATTAAATGTCAGGAAATGTGGAAAAACTGAGTTTAAATGTATTTGGCTAAGGTGTATGTAAACTTCCGACTTCAACTGTATTGGCACGGGTGTTGTTCGTCGAGGGCCGGCAAACCATGCCAATATATCCTCCAAACACCGGCTTCAAGGGCATTATCACTTTTATACAACAGGTTACCAACATATTCAAATATGATTGACATATCTTCATTACAAACATTATTTTGATGAATTTATTCATACTATTTAATCCTTCCACAAGATATCGTCCCGACACAAATCTAGGGTTGCTACGCAAGCTGGCTGGTCGTTCATTCTATCGGTTCAGTTGCCAGAGACGTGACCCAGTCGTTCAGTCTTTCGTTCGTTCTATATGTTCCATTGCCATACTGGCTGGTAACATTCTTATCCCTTGCTTGCTAGCTAGCCAACTACGGCGAACATACAGTCACGTCAAACAGTGCAGCTAGAATAACAGAAATGTAGCTGCATTCTAGTGACATCTATTTGGATACATCCATAACAATGAACTAATGAGGCGCGATTTCGCCTGGCATAGAACATTTGCTCTCTCGTCAGGACACTGTTGTTCAGAGGAGCTAGCAAACAACACAGCTAACACAATCACTTCAAACTGAAGCTGGAAAGACAGCAAACTAGCTGCACTTCGTTTCGTTTTACCTGTTTTCTATTGATAGTTTTTTGTAAATATCCATAAAAATTATGGTGATTCATGATTTCGACTGGCTGAGAAAAGCTGCCTGCCTGTCTGTCTCATCCCGACACGTTCATTACTATGGGACAGCTGGAGATCGAATTTGAATATTGAAACAATGTTCCAAATGTCGGAGAGACAGACAGCAAGGTTTATACAAATCTCCGCTGTTGAAAACTAATATGTTAGTCTAAAAGAAATGTGAGATAATGTCTAGATGCTTTTTATAGTGGAGATCAAGTTTATAAAATGCCTGGCTGGGTTGATGAGAGTGGATTGCGCAGTCAGATGGAACAGAGTAAATAGGCATTTTAACGTCATAGATTTAGCCGGTGGTAACTTGTGGAATAGACACCGGCTGGAATGTGGTTTTAACCAATCAGCTTTCAGAATTAGACCCACCCGTTGTATAAATAATATTAGTGCACATAAAGATGAAGGCATGTATCTCTATTGAACAAAGAAATCTGAAAATTCTGGATCCCTATTTTACCAGTAAAATATAACAAAAATAGCCTAATTGTCAACGCAAAATTCATGAGTATCACTGGATTAGGTTGCATATCAAAATATTTTGAATCATGCATTCCTGCTTGGACATGTTAGATGTAACAACTTATTTATTGAATACCATCTCAGTAGTCTATTGCACTTCTTAATAAAGCATTGTGAATGACTTTATAAAATGATTACAAAATATATTCTATTGTGTGATGCTGCAAAAAACAAAAACAAATCTGGAGCCCTGATTTAGTATATATGTAGCATTTATGTAGTATTTAGGAGTATTAGCTGCTATATATGGAATGAGAAAGCAACATTATAGATGTAACTTTTTTGTTAGTTAATTTATGAGATACTGAGTATTGCCTTTCTCTTAAAGCAAAGATAAGTGGCACACATGATACACATACACACAAACACTTACACACAAACACTTACACACATGCATGCACATACACACATGCAGGCACACATGCACGCACACACACACACAGTCTTGTACAGCTAACCTTGTGGGGACACACAATTCAGTCCCATTCAAAATTATATTTTCCCTAACCCCTAACCCTAAACCTGACCTTAACCCAAAAACCTAACCCTAACCCTAAACCTAACCCTAGCTCCTAACTCTAACCCTAAAACTAACCCTAGCTCCTAACCCTAACCCTTAACGTAATTCTAACCCTATCACTAATTCTAACCTTAACCCTAAACCCCCTAGAAATAGCATTTGACCTCATGGGGACTAACAAAATGTCCCCAGTTGGTCAAATGTTTGTTTGTTTACTATTCTTGTGGGGACTTCTGGTCCCCACAAGAATAGTTAAACACGTCCACACACACAGACAGAGAGAGACAGACACACACAGTCATGTACCTACCTGCTGTTCGGTTGGCCTACACCACACACACACACACACACACACACACACACACACACACACACACACACACACACACACACACACAGACACAGACACACACACACACAGACACAGACACACACACACACACACACACACACACACAAACAAACACACTTTCACTATAGAGAAAACTCTCCCTCTTCCCTCATGTAGAAGACAGTATGGAATGCTACCAGGGGGTTAGCAGAAGGATCCAACCTGCACACACTTAGGCTTCTTTTTCTCTAAAGAGCAGATTTTTGTAACCAAATGTAGTCATGGCAACATTTTCTATGTTCTGTGTTGCCCAGTTGCCATGGTGACCTTTGAAGAGCCAGGGGACACCTGGGAAAAAAAGTGGGGGGTGCAGGGTAATAGTAGCCTGGGTACCAGTCTTTTTAGCTAATCCACTCCCTGTACTCCATGTCATGTGCCAAAGAGACTGGCCTTTCTGCCATCTTCAAATATGAACATTCTGTCATTAATGATCTCGATGAGAATGGAGGATTTGATCCTGATTCGCTCACCCTCACAGCTATCCTCCAATCACATTGATTATGCAAATATTGGAACTATCATTTTTTTCTCCATAGAACACTTGGTATCCCTTTGCTAAGTAACTGCTTTTTGCTTGTCCAGATGAAACCAGTCTGTCAAAAGTTGCCAGCTCACGTCTAAATAGCTACATACTGCAATTCCAACCACAAAAAGTCTTAGTTTAGATAATAAGATGATAGTTGGAGCTGTATTGTTAGATTTCAGTGCAGCCTTTGATGTAAATTGATCATAATTTGTTATTGAAAAAACTGGCTTGTTATGGCTTTAAATCACCTTCCATCACATGGTTGGAGAGTTACTTATTCTATAGAACTCAGAGAGTTCAATGGAAGCTTCTCTAACATCAGATATGTACTTCTCTAACATCAGATATGTACACAGTGGTATCCCTCAGGGCAGTTGCCTTTTTTTCACGCTCAACAGTTTCCCGTGTGAATCAAGAATGGTCCACCACCCAAAGGCAATCCAGCCAACTTGACACAACTGTGGGAAGCATTGGAGTCGACATGGGCCAGTTACCCTGTGGAATGCTTTCGACACCTTGTAGAGTCAATGCCCCGACGAATTGAGGCTGTTCTGAGGGCAGTGTATGAATAGTGTGTGTAAATAGTATTTTGTTGTCTCTTGGTGTCTTTCCTATATATAACTCTTATTTTTTTTTTAAAAAAAAAAAGTAATGTAATATCTTCTGTTGTTCTTGTCTATTACTGTTCTGTACTTTGTCATGTATTTGTACGTTTTATGTGGACCCCAGGATGAGTAGCTGCTGCATGTGCAGTAGCTAATGAGGATCCTAATAAACTAAACTAAATAGTGGGCACTTGTGAAGAATAAACACTTCATGAACTTAAATGGTAGCTGAGGTTGAATACTGGTTGTATTCTTGATTAAAGGGCTCAATTTATCTTAGTTTAGAATGCTTGTTAATTCAACTTCTTAGTGTAGTGTGTGTATGCGTATGTGTGTCTCTGTGTGTGTGTCTCTGTGTGTTGATAATATCCAATCTAAATGGGTTCAAATAGTATTTGTTTTCTTTCAAATACTTTAGGTGCGTTTGATAGAGCTTGCCTGGCACAATAAAACAATGGAATAGTTCCAAAAGTACAAACCCTGTCCACCTGGCACTCCAGAAAGACTCAATCAAACAATCGAAAGTAGACATGTTGGGTGTAGTTCGTTTTCAGATATGTAGCATTGCTCTGACTCTCTTCCCTGTGTGTGTGTGTGTGTGGACGGGTGTAGGGTGAGGAAGCTGAAGGAGACCCTGGTTACGGTGCAGCAGCTGGACAAGAACATGAGCAACCTGCGATCATGGCTGTCCCGCATCGAGGCCCAGCTGGCCAGGCCCGTCACCTACAACGTGTGTCACCATGAGGAGATCCAGAGACGGCTCGCCCAACAGCAGGTGGGTGGGAGTAGGGTGAAGTTGCCCCTAGACGCTGATCTTGGGTCAGTTTAGCATTTTCCCCACTAATAGTTAAGGTTAGGGTTGAAGGAGGGGAAAATGAGTTTAGATCTGTACCTAGGGGAAACTTCACCCCGGAGCAGGTGGGTGCCAGGGTCCTGTTCATTAGGCACCAAATGAACAGGGAGGGAGTACCTGTTTAACGCTTTGAATCGTTTTCCAGTGAACACAACCCAGATTATCATAGCGATTATTATGAACCGACTTACCTAAATAAATACAGATTGAAAAAGGTGTGTTACACAAAGGTGTAATATGCACATCCCAGATTTCCCCACGGAAAAAACCATATATTACTCAGATATAGACTGTAATTCCCTTTGGATTTTGTCTGCTAAAATAACCATATCTGCATTGATTTCATTTTATTTTAGTTATGTGAATAGAGGGCGATAGATACAAACATATTACCCCATTGAACAAACCACCATCCAATGCATAGCCTTGTCAATAGCCTTGTCCACAATTTTTGTCCAACGTTGTCCGTCTGTCTGTCCACATTACGCTAAGGTTGTCCATGTTTCTGTCCACAGGAGCTGCAGAGGGACATTGAGCAGCACACGGAGGGCGTTGTGTCCGTCTTGACGCTGTGCGACATCCTGCTGCACGACCAGGACGCGTGTGTTGGCGGCGACGGCGAGAACGACTCCATCCAGCAGACCACCCGCAGCCTAGACCAGCGCTGGAGGGCCATCTGTGCCACGTCCCTGGAGAGGAGGCTCAGGTAAGACACACACACAATCAATCAATCCCCACCAAAAGATATAATGTATTTATAATGCATTATACAAAGTGTTACCAAAAGTGATGAATTAAGTTTGTGGGTTCATTTGGATGGTGATGGATGGTGATGGATGGTGATGTTTTGCACTCCAGAGTGAAGTTTCATTTGGGTTAGGATCAGCTTCCCCTCCCCTAATCCTAACCTTAAAGGAAATATCCACCCAAAACCACTAAGTCCTATAATTTAAAGTGTTAAATAACACTAATATGTGAGAACAATATATTTCATTTAGTCATTATAATAAGGTTGGTAGCAACGTGAAAATTGTTGTGGAAATTTGTGAAAATTTGTGGCAGCTCTGTCTGGCTAGCTAGCAAACGTAGCTACACACAATAATACTAAAGTCAATATCAGCATGTGAAGTAGCTAGTTAGCTATAAAATCGCTTAAACAAACTGCACTATCAATTTAGGAGTCTACAATCTCACCATGTTCAACCTGCAGATCGATGTGCCTCGCAGCGGCATCATGCAGTGCTCCCTGGACTGAAGAGGCAGACAAATAGGAGGAATGTGGTGGACCCTCTATTAAATTACAAATTTCTCAAAGTAGGAATATCGCAAAAATATAATCAATTGCTCATTCGAGAGAAGACAACCTCCCGTGTTATGTCATTAGCCAGTATACACTTCCAGTGTAGCGAGAGTGACTTTATCGCAATGCTTTTCATACCTGACACATTTCTGCCAGCTCGAACGGCAATAGCTCAGATACACATGAAAACCTCAAATCACCCAGGGAATTGATAGAACATCGCTCAGAGATGCACACAAACAATATAACATTCAAAATGGGTGAATCTTTCCTTTACCCATTAGTGGGGGAAATGCAAAACTGACCCAAGATCAGCATCTAGGGGCAACTTTACCCTACACTGATGTTTCCCTATGATAGGATTGAGGAGACTTGGAGGCTGTGGTGTAAGTTCCTGGATGACTACTCGCGCTTTGAGGACTGGCTCAAGGTGGCCGAATGCACGGCAGCCAACCCCAACTCTGACAACGTTCTGTACACAGTCGCCAAGGAGGAGCTCAAGAAGTTTGAGGTCAGTTTTGGGGGTCAGGATCCTATAGGAACTGACAGTGAAGTTCACTTCTGCCTCCCAAATGGCACCCTATTCCCTACATAGTGCACTACTTTTACCCAATGCTCTGATCAAAAGCAGTGTAATATGCAGGGAATAGGGTGTCAGTGTGACACAGACACGGTCTGAGATTTTCATTTGTATTCTATTAACTAACCAATGACTCGGTTACTGAATGGTTGGTTGAATCATATCCTTTCCCCAATATTCATCAATCAATGTTATTCACCCCCCTCTCTCCCTCCTCCTTCCCTCCATCCTTCCTTTTTTCCTCCCTCATTATCTCCCTCCCTCCCTCCATCCCTCCTCCCCTCCCCACCCTACACAGGGCTTCCAGAGGCAGGTGCAGGAGCGTCTGACCCAGCTGGAGCTGGTCAACAACCAGTACCGCCGGCTGGCCCGGGAGAACCGCACTGACGGCGCCAGCCGCATCAAGGTTATGGTCCACGAGGGCAACCGCCGCTGGGATGCACTGCACAGGAGGACGGCGGCCATCTTACGCAGGCTAAAGGTGAGAAGGAAGGAATGCTGGGATAAAAAAAAAAAAAGAAGAAAATACAAATATGCACACTGCTATTGCCATTGTTACTTTAGTTAGCTTATGCATCGACCTTACTACCTGTCCGAGCTTAAGATATCATTGACTTATTGCTTTTCCTATTTTTAACGTCAATGATTCTTAACTCTTAAAAGAATGAAGGTTTTTTACATCAAGAGCCAGAGCTGTGACTGTTTTCCACCCCCCATGTGACTCTAGGTTCGCGCACTATTGAGCACTATTTTCCTACAGACAAAAACTCACTGTCTCTTTTCCCCTTTCCCCCTGCAGCATTTTACGGGTCAGAGAGAGGAGTTTGAGGGGACCAGGGAGAGCCTGCTGGTGTGGCTGACGGAGATGGACCTGCAGCTCACCAACGTGGAGCACTTTTCTGAGACGGACACGCAGCACAAGATGAAGCAGCTCAACGTAAGGGGGGCAGGGGGAATGGGTGGGATTGGGGGAAGGTGGGGTAGGCAGAGGGATACAGACGCACAAGTGCAGGAACGCATATTCACTAGTGCACACACACACATGGAGGAATGTGCATTCACAGTCACTGTCTTGCACACAAGCTCGCACATGTGAACTCAGATTCACAGATGCAGGACAGCACACACGTCACACACACATCCATGGCAAGCTTTGACACAGTCACTCATACACACAGTCAACCAAACACTCTCACACTCCCCTCTCCTTTCTAGCTCCGGGGTGAAGTTTCCCAGCCCTAGGTACAGATCTAGGATCAGCTTTCCCTCCCCCAATCCCATCCATAACTATTAGTGGGGAAAATACCAAACTGACCCTCTCCCCTCCAGGGCTTCCAGAGGGAGATCACCCTGAACACGGAGCGCATCGACGGCCTGATTGTGTTCGGTGAGGGCCTGATCCAGAGGAGCTCCCCGCTGGACGCCGCGCTCATCGAAGACGAGCTAGAGGAGCTACACTCCTACTGTCAGGAGGTTTTTGGCAGGGTGGTCCGCTTTCACCAGCGCCTCACGCAGCCACCGGTTAGTATGTGTGAACACACACACACAGATGTACAGGCACGCACACAAAAAAGAGAGAAAAACACACAAACAAAAAGAGAGAGAGACACAGACACAAGAGTTGTACTCCTACTGCCAGGAAGTGTATGGCAGGGTGATCTGCTTCCACTAGCACCTGAGACAATCTCCTCTCCTGTCCTCTCCTCCTCTCTTCTCCAGGTGTTGAAGGAGGAACCAGAGCTGTTCGGCGGGGACAAGCCCCTGGAAGGGAGCTGCGAGCTGATTGGCCGTCCCTGGCTGGGGCGGAGCCAGAGTCAGGGGAGCGCCCCTGCCACACCAACCCACCTGTTGGCCCCTCCCCTGGAGTGTTCAGGCCGGGAGACACCCGTGAGCGTGTGTGACTCCATCCCTCTGGAGTGGGACCACACGGGAGACGTAGGAGGATCTTCGTCCCACGAGGATGAGGAGGAGGAGGAGGTTGAGAAGGAAGAGGGGACCTACTACAGTGCCCTGTCAGGTAAAATACAGTGTTAATATTTCCTCTCTGACGACAACGAAGTGTGTGTGTGTGTCTGTCTTACAATCAGAAAATAGTATTCAACAATGCTGTGGTATTTATGGATACAGTATATTAATGTACACACAGCCACAGTGACAGTCACGCATGCACACACGCACACACACACACACACACACACACACACACACACACACACACACACACACACACACACACACACACACACACACACACACACACACACACACACACACACTCTCAACTTGGCCCTCTTCTACTCTTCTCCAGAGGTGGAGGTTACAGAGAGTCCAGAGGCCTTTGTCAAAGCCACGGCTCTCTCACTGGGAGCTGGTCCCTCTGGTAGGCACCACTATGGTCTTCCTCTTTCATGCCGATGCCAGTGGGTGGCTATATACAAGCGGGCACTGCCAGGCTTGGGGCATGCCTCACGCAACCCCACATAACCTCACGCAAACCTCACGCAAAACTGCTAAAGTACACTGACTTAAAGCAGTCCTCACACTAAAGTGTGATCACCGCTCACAAAAGCACTAAAGCTCACTAACAATTTAACTAGGCTACATCTTAGCTCAGCGTCATTTTTTTTTACATACAGTGGCAAGAAAAAGTATGTGAACCCTTTGGAATTACCTGGATTTCTGCATAAACTGGTCATAAAATTTGATCTGATCTTCATCTAAGTCACAACAATAGACAAACACAGTGTGCTTAAACTAATAACACACACATTATGGTATTTGTCTTGTTTATATTGAATTGCACATTTCAAAGTCCATTTCATAGAAAATGTTACAAACTGGACTACATTTAGTAACTTACTTTGAAGAGATGGTGATTGGGTCTAAATAGGCTTTTGGCGTTTGGTAGTCTTAATTCAGTGTATTTGTCTTCAACTTCCATTCCCCGAAAGTCAGACTCTTCCCACACACCAATTCATTTTTCACAGTTTCAGAAGCATCTGCATTCACCAAATTTTGTGTGGTTGTCCTTAGATACATTCTCCAGACTTGCCCAGAGGGAATTGTTGATATGCTGTAAATGGTTTATTCTAGATAACATTTTATTTGGAAAAATGCCTTTAAATGTCTTTAGTATTTTACAGATAGAAAGATTCAAAAAGTATTTATCCACAATCTGCTCTGGACAAGTCCGGTCCTGGAGTGTTTTAACAAAATGAAACAAAAATATTTAGGCTGACTTAATCCAGTGTCCAGAAAGATGTATTTGCGTGGTATGCAAATATGCGCTATTTAATAAGATATCGCCTAATTTGCATATTGTAATAATATATTTCAGAAAATAGTCATACAAAAAAGTATTTTATTCAACTGATAAAAGGTGATTGTGATCTGATTAAGAGGGGAAAAAATCCCTATTAGGGTGTGGTGCCTGGCCTTAAGGAGATAGATTGGGTGTAAGGCCCTGTCCAGGGGATGTATTTGAAGTAGAGAGGTGATTCAGCAACACTTGGAGGACAATGGAATTAAATAAAAAAGCATATTTTTTGCTAAAAGTAGAAGCAATGCGTTATGGCTTTTGGACTTCGTCAGGGTTTTTACAGAAGTAAAACAGAATGAGTCTTTTATACATTTCAAGGGACCAATCACAGTTAGTATGCCAATAAAAACATGTGATTGGTTAAATCAGGGGATGTACTTGTACATCAAGCTACCTCACGCTACAGAAACAGAAGATAGGTTCCTGCCCCATGGGCCGTTCTGGCTCGGGCAAGGCTACTTACCTTTACTTACGCCTCAGTAAGAGACTTGTCTGCAATAGGCTTTAAGTGTAAAATCCACTTAGGGTTGCCAGATACAGTGAAACCACTCCCATTTGGGTTGCCATATCCAACTACACTAGTTCACCCCACTGCTGTGCCATAACCTCCCTTTGCTACTGTCTACCACCTGAAATACTGCATGGGAATAAAGATGCACACACATAATATGCTTTTGGGTTTCTTTCACTGCTTAATTTATACTTGTATGGCATTATTATTTGGGTGGCAGAAAAGCTCCTTTGTAACCAGAGCAAGCCCACTGGGCAAAAACTGGTTGAATCAACGTTGTTTCCACATCATTTCAACGTCAAACAATCAATGTTATAATGTTGAATCAACATGGGAAACTGATTGGATTGGCAAAAAGTATTTTTTAAACTCAACTTTAAACCTAAATCCAATGACGGTGGCATTTGGTGAAATTTTTTGTTGATTTCACGCAGAATTCACATTGATTGACAACTCAACCAAACATAAATCAAAACTAGTCGTTGAAATGACATCTGTGCCCAGTGGGAGTAGAATGACCTGCAGGGAAAATGTGGTCATTATTGTGTTTTCAATGTAAACTCAGGCTCTAACGTGGTGTGTGTGTGTGTGCGCATGCGTGTGTGTGTTTGTGTGCCTGCGTATGCATGTGTCTGTGCATGTGCATGCATGCCTGTGTGTGTGTGTGTTTGTGTGTGCGGTCCTCTCAGTTCCACTCAGATCCATGGCCATACCCGAATCTCCAAGCTGGCGCTCGCCAGGCGACCTGGACAGAAAGTACCTCCACCTGGACTCTCCCGACGGCCTGGACCCCTCACCTACACACACCAGCACTCCCTTCAAACAAGGCTACGTAAGTCGCTCCGGGCTGAAGTTTCTCCTACAGATCTAGGATCAGCTTCCCCTCCCCAATCCTAACTATGCCTATTAGTGGGGAAAATGCAAAACTGACCCAAGATTAGCATTAAGGCGCAACTTCCCCTTACTCCTTTCTAAATCTGTTCTGCTGCCCTCCTCTGGCTACACCGAGTGTTTGTGTGTGTGAATAGATTCAATTCTATGTTTTTATTTAGTCACATGCACAGTGAAATTGTAGTGAGATTCTTAAGCTCCGAACTCCAACAGTGCAGGTGTGAATGAAACAATAAAAAATGTAATATCAATAATACATGTTTAGAACTGTGACAATGATAAATATAAATGTCCATTGGGGTGTGGGCAAGGTAATTGTCCGTTGAGGGGGGGAGGCAGTGTGCACCCACTGGTGCGTTCTGCTGAGCATACCACCCTTTGTAGTGCCTTGCGGTCATCAGCGGTGGAGTTGCCATACCAGGCTGTGATGCAGCCCGACAGTATGCTCTTGATGTTGCTCCTGTCGAACAAGGACACTCGGGTACAGACATCATTTCTTCAGCCTCCTGAGGTTGAAGAGTCACTGTTGTGCCTTCTTCACCATGGTTTGACCATTTCAGCTCCTCGGAGATGTGTACATCAAGGAACTTGACGTTTTTGACTGTCTCCACGGCGGCCCCGTTGATGAGGATGGGGGCGTGCCCAGCCTGGTTCCTCCAAAAGTCCACAATCAGCTCCTTTGTTTTGCTGACATTGAGGGAGAGGTTGTTTACCTGGCACCACACCATCAGAGTGCCTACCTCCTCTCTGTAGGCCGTCTCGCCGTTGTGTGCATGCGTGCGCGTCGGTGTGTGTGTTATATGCTGTAACAATGTGTGTCTGCGTTGCAGGTGCGTCTGATGTCAGAGTGCAGTGGTAGCATCAAAAGTGTCAAGAGGGTCTCCCTGATCCTGGATGATGAGGAGCAGCCCGAGGAACAGGGCCTCACTGGCCTGACGACCGCTGACAAACAATCAGGTACCGCACGCACACAAACACATTGGGGGAGGAAACGTGAACATTTTTACCTGCCGTCATACAATATTTGCGATAATCTAATAAATGTATGTTACAAATGTGTGTGTGCATGCCCGTATGTTTTCAGGGGTGATCGAGCGCTGGGAGCTGCTGCAGGCTCAGGCCAGGAGCGACCTGCTGTCTGGCCCGCGGGAGCCTTGCCAGCTGACCTCTGACCTGCATGACATCACTTCCTGGCTGGGGCGGGTAATGCCGGAGCTGGAGAGAGTGCAGGTTCCCGAGACCCCCACCAGCATCCAAGACATGGAGGCTAGGGTCAAACAACTCAAGGTAAGGCTGCTGAATATTATACTGTACTACGGTGTCCATTTTAGGACTGCTGAGACTGAAGCTTTTTGAATATGGACACCATACATTGTTTGTCTTTTCCATTCAAGGTAAGGAAATTAACTATAATACTTTTGATTTTGTACACCAGCTTCAAAGCTGAAAATACAATATTTTTGGTTTAGATGGTACAATGATTATCTACACTATACCTTGCTCTCTGTCTCTCTCCCTCTCTCTCTCACACGCACTCTCACTCTCTTACTCTAGGAGATGCAGAAGGTCTTTGCTCACTACAAGGCAGTCATGCTGTCGCTTAACATGGGCGGTCGCGAGTTGCGGGGGTGTGATGGTCCGGAGGCCCGGGAGCTAGGGGAGGGCCTGGCTAGTATGAACCAGGGCTGGATGCTGGCCTGCACTGGTCTGGAGGAGTGGCAGGACAGTCTGCGTACCACTGTCATGCGCTGTCAGGTCAGTTACTGTACAGTTACAGGACAGTGGGCAAAACTGTTTGAAATGACATCTTGTCAACCAGTTTTGCCTAGAAAATATGTAATTCAACCGGTTTTGCAAACTGGGAGTACAGTGTTTCTCAATTTCGGTTCCTGGGGGTATACCGCCTCAGGGTTGCGCATATTTGTTCTAGCCCAGCAAAAGCACACCTGATTCAACAATCCTTGCCCTTCATCAGGCGTGCTTGTGCTGGGCCAGAAGAAAAATGTCCAACCATTTTTTTTACCTGCCCAGCTGGTAAAACTGGTAGCAATGAAGTAAGTCATTCTGACGTCTTCTTTGATGTCATGGTTGGGTTGTATGCTGATTGGAAAATGATATTTTTGGGATGTCTTTTTAGCGACCAGACAAATAGATCCTTACCTGGTTGTAAGGTAATCTGACGTCTCTTGAGTGGCTCTGCAGAAAATGACATTATTATGACGTCCAATGCGCTGACCTAGCATCCTGTCCATGGGGTGTACTTGTACATCAAGCTACCTCACAATACAGAATCAAGAGATAGGCTTATGCCCCTATGGGCGGTTCTGGCTCGGACAGGATTAGTTGTCCAAGGCTTACTTACTATGCACTGACCTGAGGTCCCTGACCTTTGCCCTTTCTCCTCTGACCCACGACAGGAGTTCCACGAGACGCTGCACTCCCTGCTGCTGTGGCTGGCCCACGCTGAGAGCAGGCGTTACACCGTCGACATCCACCACCCGGACACATCGACAGGCACGCTGTGGGAACACCGCAACACACTCACTGTGAGAGAGAGGGAGGGGAAGGGGAAGGGGAAGGGGAAGGGGAAGGGGAAGGGGAAGGGGAAGGGGGAGGGGAAGGGGAAGGGGGAGGGGGGGAAGGGAAAGGGGGAGGGGAAGGGGAAGGGGGGAAGGGGGTTGAGAGGGAGGGGAAGGGGAAGAGGGGAAGGGGAAGGGGGGAGGGGAGGGGAAGGGGGAGAGGGGAGAGGGGAAGGGGGAGAGGGGAAGGGGGAGAGGGGAGGGGAGGAGAGGGAGGGAGAGAGGGGAGGAAGGGGGAGAGGAGGGAAAGAGGGGAGGGGGAGAGGGGAGGGGGAGGGAGAGGGGAAGGGGGAGAAGGGAAGGAGGGAGAGGGAGGGGGAGAGGGGAAGAGGGAGAGGGTGAGGGGAAAGGGGAGAGGGGAAGAGGGAGAGGGGAAGGGGGAGAGGGGAAGAGAAGGAGGGAGAGGGGAAGGGGAGAGGGGAAGGGGAAGAGGGGAGGAGGAAGGGGGGAGAGGGAGGGAGAGGGGAAGAGGGAGAGGGAGGGAGAGGGGAAGGGAAAAGAGGGAGGGAGAGGGGAAGGGGAAGGGGGAGAGGGAAAGGGGAAGGGGGAGAGGAAGGGAGAGGGGAAAGGGGAAAGGGAGGGAGTGGGGAAGGGAGAGGGAGGGAGAACATGGAGGATGGATAAGGGGGGAGGAGGGAGAGGGAAGAGAAAGGGGGTGTGGGGTGGTAGAGGAGAGAAAGAGGGGATGATGATGGTTTGGGTGAGAGAGTAAGGGGAACTTAATGAGGGAGAAATTATGGAGAGAGAGGGTGAAAAAGGGAGGGAGTACACATGACTTGGGAGAGCGAAGGGGGAAATGGAAAGTTCTGACGGACAGTGCAATATACACTGAGTAGGCTAAGTAGACTGAGCAGGTGGGAGGCTTGGGCGGCAGGTAGCCTAGTGGTTAGAGCATTGGACCAGTAACTGCAAAGTTTCTGGTTTGAATCCCCGAGCCGCCAAGGCTCTGTTGATATGCCTTGAGCAAGGCACTTAACCCTAATTACTCCTGTAAGTCACACTGAATAAGAGCATCTGCTAAATGACTAAACCAGTTGAAAGCTAGGATCCCTTATTGATGTCACTTGTTAAATCCACTGCAATCAGGGTATATGAAGGGGACGAGACAGGTTAAAGAAGGATTTTTAAGCCTTGACACATTTGAAACCTGGATTGTGTATGTGTGCCATTCAGAGGGTGAATGGGCAAGACAAAACATTTCAGTGCCTTTGAACGGGATATGGTAGTAGGTGCCAGGCGCACCGATTTGTGTCAAGAACTGCAATGCTGCTGGGTTTTTCACGCTCAACAGTTTCCCATGTGTATCAAGAATGGTCCACCACCCAAAGGACATCCAGCCAACTTGACACAACTGTGGGAAGCATTGGAGTCAACATGGGCCAGCATCGCTGTGGAGCGCTTTCAACACCTTGTAGAGTCCATGCCCCAATGAATTGAGGCTGTTCTGAGGGGAAAAAAGGGTGTGGGGTTGCAACTCAATATTAATGTTTGGTATACTCAGTGTAAAGGTAGCACATTCCCTTATCATTGGTATGGCCAATTAGATTTATTTTACATTTATACTTTTCCACGGGTTCAGAAGCTCCCCTTCGACTGATGTGTGTGTCGTGTGTGTCTGTATCGCTCTCTCTGTTTGTCTGTCTGTCTTCTGTCTGCATCTGTGTGTGTGTGTGCCCTCTTTTCCAGGGCCTGCAGAAGGAGTTGCGGGCGAGACAGAGCCAGGTGAGCTCGCTCCAGGGGCTGTGGAGTCAGCTGCAGCCAGCGGAGGAGGGGGGGGGGGGGAGGAGAGCGTAGAGGCTCGGGAGAAGCTCCACGTGACGGCCAACAAACTGCGGACGCTGCTCCGCCAGGTGGCCCACGACCTCAGTGTCGTGCAGGAGCGCCTGGTAAGGAGACCCCACACCAAGTGATTTGAATGTAAAATTGAAAACACTTCTTAAATAAATAGCTTCTCCTTTTTGGTTTTTGAGAACATTTAATAAAATATTTTTTTTCAATGATTGAATTGGACTTTGTTTACTTCCTCAATTGACTAACTTCAATCGAATTGACCTTAAAACTGCCCCACAAACTTTGCTAGGGTTTGTGGTTGATTCCATTCCAATATAGACAGCTCAGGAAGTAAACTGAAATCATGATTCCAATTAGCCTTCTTTGTCGGTTTACGTTCCTGATTTGAATGACTTGAAATTGAATTGACCGCAACAATGCGCTCCAATGTGTCCGAAGCATTAGACCGAGAGGATTTCTCAATCGCAATCACCAGGGACCTCCACAAGGTGGTGCACATTTTTGTTCTAGCCCAACAATCACCAAGCCATTGATTTGTTGGACCGGGTGTGTTAGTGCTTGGCTAGAACAAAACTATGCCCCTTCTGGTGCCCCAGGAACGTATTGAGAAATAACATATTGACAATGTTCTAGAAATGCACAAAGAACATTGTTAACCAGACAGAACTGAAAACACATTTAGAAGAAACATAAGAAAACAGACTGAAACGGGGAGTCTACGTGGACTTGTCCAGTAAGAAACGCACATTTTCGGTTTACACTGCAGAGATGTCTTAAAACAAATTTGACACTACTTCAAGTTTTACATTACATACCACAAAACCCACGTTCCAGAGTCATGTTCATTAGGGCACACAATGGAAATAGATTTAAGGGGAATTTTGCAACGGAAAACGAAAATGAGTGTTTCCTAATAGACAAATCCAGGTAGTCCCCAGTTTCAGTCTGCTTTCTTACATTTGGTGCCTAATGAACACGACCGTGTAGCTGGCACCATTCTCCATCCAAATGAGCCCAATGAAACCCTGATTAAGGCAGCTTAGCTGTCGAAACGTTGGTATTTATGAACTGTATTGCATCGGAGCCAGGAGTGTGAGACTTTTATTTATGTTTCTAACCATTCAAATGAACCACCTGACATGTTTACTGCCCTTGCTGCAGGACTGTGGGACTCTATCTGCGGGTCCGGCTGTGGCTCGAGCTGCAGTTGAAAATAAGGGCAGAGGGCGGGCGGAGGGCAGCCAGTCCCCGTCTAATGCCAGTCAAGAGGAGGGTACCAGTACCACACCAACCTCAGCTGGCAAAAGGTACGGACCAGAGAGTTTAAACTTCTTAAAATCACTTCAGTTAAAAATGCTTTATTACAATGGATAATCACGCAGTGAAAATAGAATATACAGTATATAACAGAAAATATGAAACATTGAAATTATTATTGTTAACGTTGAGATAATTATAGACACTTGGGCCGGTATCTAATCGAAGGCACACTGCAGAGCTGCACACTGCACTACCGACAATGTGTCTTTAAAAGGCTCTTTCCCCCGATGTTCAGAAATCCAATTAATGGATGTCGGCTCAAGCGTTATGGGCAGTGCTGCAACGCGCCTTTGAATTAATTCCTGCCTTGATGTAATGATAAAAAAAGGTTAAATCAGTTTAGCCCCACTAGTGGTCTCTCAATACTTTTTATGGTGGAGGCTGAAGTTGACCCTAGACACTGATCTTGGGTCAGATTTGCATTTCCCCTACTAATAGTTATGGTTAAGATTGGTTAAGGGGAAACTGATCCTAGATATGTACCTGGGGAAAACTTCACCCCGGAGCAGTTGTTATGGTCTATGGAAGTCTATGGAGGAGGTCTGTGGAGGATGCCTGTATGTTTTGACTGATGATTTGCCTAAGTACCATTCTTCGTCCCTTGTCTTGGACCTCCAGGGGGGAGAAGAGGGACCCAACCCCACCTCGCTCCTTCTTCTACCGCGTGCTGCGGGCTGCCTTCCCCCTACACCTCCTCCTCCTCCTGGTCCTTGTGCTGGCCTGCCTGGTGCCCCTGGCTGAGAACGACCACAGCTGCACACTGTCCAACAACTTTGCCCGCTCTTTCTACCCCATGCTGCGCTACACCAATGGCCCACCACCCACCTGATACAAACACACACACACACACACTGACATGTGGCCTGCTTCCAAAACTAACCCATCGATACTCTCTGCTTAAGAGCTGGAGAGAGGATATTGTTACGGTCCCAACATTTTCTTTTAAATATCTATATTTATAGATTTGATTTTATTATTAATTTATTCCCTTAAAAAAGCCATACCGAAGTTCAGTTTCTATCAAACAGTTGATGTGATCCACCCATTTGGAACTCTTGCCCCTAATGTCACTAGCAAGTACTGTATTTCAAAGGAGACTTGTTCTTTATGGGGTTATGTTGTGTTCTGGTTGAAAAGATTTCTATCTTAATGATTTGCCCTTCAAGCCATGTATTGAAGTAGCAGTCTGTTGTTGGACCTATCCAGTCCACAACATAGCTTTATCTCATTCAAAAATGCCTTCTGTAAGCGTCTATTATTCAAATCTTGCGACCCTTTGACTTGGCTGTGCGAGTGAAATGTTTAATTGGTCGCACTGGTGCGAGCTGCACATTCTACCTGGTCGCCTCAATCAAAGCGTTCTATTTTTTGGGGCGGATAAAACCAATGAATTTGTTAAAGAGTAAAGTGCATTATCCTCATGATTCCTGTAATAAAAGTGTCTGCCCTGCCGCTGTGCCTGCCTGTTTCGCTGGGACCGGCTGCTGTAATGAGTGAGTCTCTCACTCTTTCTCCCCCCTCGTGATTGTATAACATTTCACAAACAAAACTTTGGAAGTAACTAGTCTCATCTTTCTGTAGGTATATTTTTTTATTTCTCAACGATCATTATTGAGCTCAAAGCACACTGTTTTTCTAATCAAGATATCTGATATGGCTTTGAAATACGGAGAGAGAGAAGTTTTGCATCGGCCATCGCAAGTACAGTAAACCTCATTGCAGAGTTTTTTTTAGGACATTACATTTACTGTTAGATTAATACATGGCTACTAGCAGTAGGTGTTATATTTCGAGTTAGCGATCTAGCTAACATGTTTTGGCGTTTCCACTTCCTCAGGTGGTAAAATAGCACCAATTGAATTAGGCCTATATATAATTTTAGTGCACATAATGATTAAGCCAAATTAATATCTATTTAACAAAAAAAATCTGGAAATTCTGGAGCCCTATTTTGACAATAAAATATAACAAAAATAGCCGAATTGTCAACTCACTGGATTAGGTTGCGTATCAAAATATTTTCAATCATGCAATCCTGCTTGGACATGTTAGAAGTAACAACTTGTTTATTGAATACCATTTCAGTAGTCTATTGCACTTCTTAATAAAGCATTATGAATGACTTTATAAAATGATGACTGAAATGTATTTTATTGTGTGACCCTGCAAATTTTTTTGGGGGGAGGGGGGGGGGGGTATCACCAGATCATGGGCTGGTGCCACCAGCTGAAGCAGTTAGGGGCACCAGTGCCACCAGGGGAAAATGTTAGTCTGGAGCTGTGGGTCAGTGTGTATGAATTATGTGCACTGTATTATTTCTAAATAATATAATTTTGATGTTCTTCACCTCTGAACCTACACAAGCAGTCGTAGCAGTTACATCATATAATATCATTGTGCACCAGCAAGTGTATATTGAGGTAGCCAAAGCGGAGGTTGAAAACCTGAATGGGCGCCATTTTGACAGCAGATTATGTTTTTAAAAAAAATATGGATGACATGTTGTTCAACTCTACATCTTTGTTATTATCCTCTCCTATACTGCGGTCTCTTGAAATATGGAGGCACTTTACTTTTCCACACATCGAGACTGTGTATCCAATCAAGAGCACATCCGTCAGACTGCATATTTTTGTAAGGGGGAGAATTTGAAGAGCGGAAGAGTATTTTTTTTAACGGTAATGAGACACTGGCACACTGTAGGGTAGATACCAGTAGTAACACTGTTATAAATTGGTGCAGAAATCCACCAGTATAAAATAATGGCAAATAATAATAGCAGTTTCCATTTCAATTTCTAAAAGTAGACATCTCCTCTTTAAAAAGTAATAATTCAGTAATCATTGGTGCGGAAATACATTTCCATGGCTGCATAGTGCACTGTTGTGTAGGACACTTAAGCCCTAAAGAGAACAGTATGTGCTAACACTAATGCTTATTTAGGCTCTCAAACAATGAACTGTATATGTATGCCCCTTTTCTCTGGCAATAAACATTGTTTGTCTTACTGAACAAAAACTCCAAGGGCATATTCTGTGGAGAGACTGTGGAAGATGGTAATTGTCTAGCTTGATGCTAAGGATGACTCACTTTAGAACAATACACAGTGGCTACTGATTCCCTGGTGCTACATACTAAAGAAAAAGAACAATAACAGGATATAATGGAGGCTGTTTAAAGGAATACACTATACTCAAAAACTATATTTTAGTATTTTGTTCATTTGTCACATGCAAAACACTGACACGCACAATTTAACAAAATACTAAATAGTGTTTTGAGTGTGGTATTCCTTGAGCACATGGACACTGAGAAAGGAAGCCACTGGCACCAAAAGTTCATAATTGAATTTTTATTCTCCAAAGAAACATATCCCTGTGTGACGGTAGGAGAAAATCCACATGAAAATTCACATTGGGAAACCTTGACATTTAAAGCACTCACATTACAGATGAAAAAGGCTGCTGGCAATGTACAGCGTTTTCAGAGATCGTTCAAAGCAGAATGCACACCTGGGCTACAAATGGCTTAGTCATCGGGAAAGTGAAAGGACTTGTTTAATTAAAAACAGAGTTAATAACGCAAATAATTTCCTTGCCTTGAGAGGAGTCCACTGTTGGTGTTGACAAAGATCAATGGTGTTTGTTGCCTTATGGTATTAAACAGTTGATATAAGCTATGGCCTAGATTCAATCAGATCTGCATTAACCCACGATAAAAGACAACTGTATAGCATATTATTGCTTTTGTTTGGGCGAGGTCGGAGATGTAACTGCATTGGAGCTGTCAAATCTGTGGAGCTGTGGTCATTGTCACGAAACCAAACCCATCCTTAAATCCCACCCACGTTAGAAGTTCAGAACGAGAAAATGTAGGCTATGTAGAAATGACACTCAAATTGAAAATCATTAAACAAAATAAGGAATTATATCAGCCTAATTCGAGGTGTAGATTACATCACACATTCATTCCCCTGTTTTGTACTTGTATCACGGCTGCATGGGATTTCTACCAATGCAACTCGAAGCATCCAATGGCAATGTCAGCAAAAGCTATAACGCCGGGAGCCGCTTGTGGATTTGACAGCTGTTACACCTCTGACACCGCCCAAACAAAATAAATGATATGCAATGCAGTTGTCGGTTATCGCGGGTTAACTCTGAACTGATTGAATCTAGGCCTTAGTTAACCCTAAATGACAGACTAAATGGACCCAGAGATAGAAATTAGCATCCACATACTATTTTGGATGCCATGTTAAAGAGTAGAACCTCAGCCTACAGTAGAACCTCAGTTACCGACTGACCGATTAAACTGGCAATATGGAACCGGATATGTATTATTAATTGCAAAAAAAACGTAAATGTTACTCATGTGCCGGAGTCTGTAGATTACAGAAACGTAAATGTTGCTTTTATGTGCTGAAAACACAGCCATTTACAGTATAGCTAAATGGTTAGAAAATACATGTTAATAAGCAATTAATATTTTCTACAAAGGTTTGATGCGTTTTTAAGTCCATTTCAAAGTAAAGAACGTGTCAGTATTCCAAACGACCTCCATTCCCGAAGTGTTCATATCTCATGAGGTCCTACTGTACTTTGTTATTCAGGCTAGAAATCATCCCCAAAATTAGCTATTTCAAATGAAAAGTGTGGGTTACAGCTATGGCTGTCTGCTCATCAAAAGTAAATAAGATGCTTCCTCTACCAGAGAGAATCTAGCCTAGGTAGGTAATACAGCGCTACTGAAAGGAAATTGGCAAAATTGGCACAGGAAATTAAGCTAGCACTCTGCTTTTCCATTACTATAAGCTTGCCAAAAGCAGACAGCGACATAGTTTATTATTAAGGCTTTGAAAAGGCTTTCATTCCATTACCAATGTTTGAAATAAATCCCAAACAAAAAAACTACCTTATATGTGAGAAGTAGGCGTTCATCTGAAGCCAAAAAATATATAATTAGGCTGTATGTATTTTTGGATATAGGCCTAATTTAAATGTGCATTATTGTAGCGTCACCATCTTTATTGCAAAATGAAATACAAATACAAACATAACTTTAAGCTACATATTCATTTGGCAGAGGTAATGAACTGTCCATTGATCAGCACAGCAAGAGATAAAACAGGACCGTGTTTGCAAAACAAGTGGTTCTGAGCTCATGTCAATATTACACAGATAAACTAATGGTTACAGAAATCAGGAATACAGACAGGCTCTATATACACGGAGTATACCCAACATTAGGAACACCTTCCTAATATTGAGTTATTTTGATTGAGACCCTATTGTGTATGTATACATGTAGTTTGTTGTGTTACCACAAAGGACAAGGGAAATAAATGATACAGAGTGTGTCTTTAAGACCTCACATTAATTTCATTCTAAGGCCTGGATTCAATCAAATGCATGTTGTAGAGTGTTTACGTGACCGTGAACTTGGGAATATTGCCTTTAAAAGCTGCATTGTCGACAGCGCTAACATGCCTCGGGTTTAATTCTGGCCTAAATATGGCAGGTTTGAGGACAAATTAGCAAAACAAAGCTGATGAATGGATGGAAAGGTCCAGTTAGCAGGTGGGTTATAGGCAACACCTTACTTGAACCCGTCATAATAAGTCCAACATAATGCAAAGACATAAAATATATTATAAACAGTCAGGACAGCTGATGTATGCATTTAAGACAAGCTGGTCGGCTATGTAGAAGGCACAATCAAATACTTTCTTGGTCCCCAGTAGCAACTACACAAAGTACAACTGATCTAAAACAAAAGACACACAAATACTGCACTGTTTCTATTCTACTTCGGTTTTGCACTCCT